CACGTATCTTCCTCAATGTGATTAACTTGTGATTAAGTTTATGCTCAAGCGTTGCAATAATTAAAATACCGTATTTACGCGAAATAACGCGCACCTGCGCGTTATTTTGAAGAGATGCGCGTTATTTCGAATAGATGCGCGTTATTTCGAAACCGACTATGTTATTACTAATACGTTATTTTAAGTTCGAAATAACGCCCATGTGTGTTATTTCGCGTAAATACGGTACTGATTTTGATTAAATATTTTTATTATAATTATCTTTTTATGTTAATATTAAAAAATTTTTTTTTACAAAATTGTAACGGTAATAAAAAACAATGTACCAAAAGAAAGACAAAAAAAAACCTCCCATTCGCCTTTTTAAGACTTCTCTAACTTCCTTTCATATGTTGCTGCAACAAAATTATCAGCTTTCTGTTTTTTTATTTGTAGCAAAAGTTTTTGCCATAATGATAAGCAATAACAGATAAAGTAATAATTCGTCTGCATTAGTTACGATTTTGAAGATAATTTGAACAATTATTGTCGCGGCTGAAGCTGGAAATTAGGGGTCTCGATTTAAAACTATAAACCCTGCAAAAACCCAACTATACTCTTTTGTTATAAACCCTAACCAATTATTTTTTATAATCCATCAATTAAAAACTTTATCTAATTAGCGCAACTCTGTGAAAAAAAAGGATGTTTGTGCTTCTATTTCTTGTTAATGAAGCTTTACATATCATAGCTTTTTATTCACGTTGTATTGTTGCGGAATAGCAAACTTAATTTGTTAAACTATTTTTTACTAAAATTTGTTTCCCGACCCATTCCAGCTAATTGACTAAAGAGCTTGAGAACACCCTTAATCACATATTAATAGCTTTGGACAGAATTTTTTTTTATTCGCATTCCTTTGTATGAAAAAAATTTATTTTTATATATACGGGTTTTCTCTTAGCGATACCAAACATTATTCCTTAACCAAAATAAATAAAATTTATTATGAGAAAAAAAAATTGTTCAAAAAATAATTATGTAACTTATGATTTGGCTAGTATATTATTAATTATGTTACAGGTTCTATATCTGATATCAGATATTGAATCCAATATCCAATGTCCAGTCCAATAATTAGACTGGATTGAACAAAGGCCCAACATTGAGTACGTCAATACATAAAAAGCATAGCAAAGAATATTTTTATTCTAACCCTAACCCTAAGGAAGTTTTTTTTTTGGATATTTGGACTATGTCCAATTTGTCCAATATGTCTAAATAATTTTTTAGACCAGTTAGTATTAGACAATGTCAAACAGAATCATAAGATTAATTAGACATATGGGCGGCCAAAAGTAGAAATCAAAGAATTTGACTTTTGTAAAAAAAAAAAATAAATTAATACCTAAACTTTTAACGGCCAATATCTTGATTAATTTTAAGGCTATCTCAATAATTTAAATTTTTAAAGAAACTTTAAATCTTAAAAGTTTTTTTTTTTTAAAAAAATTTTAAATCGAGAGCTTTAAAATTAATCAAGATATTGGCTAGTAAAGTTTAGGTATTAATTTATTTTACAGTCAAATTCCTTGGTTTCTACTTTTGACCGTTCATATATCTAATCGTTCAATAATTTAATTGGATACTAAAAATTTAATTTATTCTAAGATCAGACAATTTGATATTCTGTTTAACATAATTCCCACTCTCTAAAATTTTAATAACCCCAAACCAATGCACATTTAGGTAACCAATAAAATTGCAGCATTGATTTTTATATAACGATAATAGTATTGTGTTTTTTGATATCATACCTTGTAAAATTATCTATTGGTCTAAAATATCAAGATAGTGTGTAACGTGACACGATCAGAAAAATAAGAAACCACCTAAAAATTTTCCTTGAAAGATTTACTACCTGACCAAACCCTAACTTTAAATATTTTTCGATCATCACGTAAAACAAATTTTTGGTGGCAAAGTGTGGAATTCTGAACTTAATAGATATTGAAAATCATATTTCATGGGATTATGCAGAAGTTGTTCATATTCCATATTCATCACAACAAGAAGGCACAACATAATTTAAAATTAAAGTATTTGGAGTAAGTGAAGAAGGAATTCCAAGTCAGGTAATTAAAACTAAAATTAAAATAGAATCTTTAAATTACATGATAATCTTTTAACATATCGATATTATTTATGCAGACAAATTATCTTATTCCTGAAAACGAGAGTATTGGGAAGGGTGCTGACGCAGTAATATCTCTTGTACATAATTGTTTTATTTTGTATGGTTTGTAGAATTTTGTTTGTGTTGTAGAAGATAGAATTAAGCCTAGTGCATATAGGTCAGCTGAGAGGTCAGATAGCGATATTATTATCAACATTTATGATAGAGTGTGTGTCATATTGACAATTGCGTTGGGCAAAATAAAAACGAAAAAAATAGGTTTAGGTTGCAATTGGAGGATTTGGAGAGTAGGGTACAAGAATTAAGAGAAATAATAATAGTAGTAGATGTTAGTGGGGATTATTTTAACAATGAGATGATCAAATATTTTAAATGTGAAGAGTAATGAATAGTCTTCACAATAAAATAACATATTATTTTATGATAGTGGGTCACACAAAATTTAGCCCAGATGGATTTTTTGGTCTTATTAAGTTAAAAAAACTTCGAAACTCTAAAGTTGATGATTTATCAAGTTTAGGTTGTTCTCAAGCAGACTCTCTTAACGTGAATGGCTAATGATCGAGATGTTGCTTAATCATTTCAAATTAATTGAAGTGATCTTTATCACAATTTTGCAAAATTCATTGTACGAAATGCGGATTTTGAATTTTAGCCAATCAAAGTAACTCTATGAAAAAAAAAGTTGTCTCCAGGTCCACGTTTTTTTTGGGCGCTTGAGAACAATCTAGTTCAGCAACCTACAATAGTGAAGGAGGGAGAAAAATAAATGGTAGAAATTCTTGGAGCAATTCTTTCAATTCCGGAAATTCTTAAACAGCACCAATTGTATCACAAAAAAATATTGGAAAGTTAATATTCGAACGTCAACAAGTGGTGTATCAAGCGAGATATCTGCACGTGGGATAAGTTTAAACAGGTAATGGTATTTGTATAATGAAATACGACAAACTCTTCCAAAACCACAAAATCTAAAAACTTTCAATAATCTAAATAAATTCGCCTTATTCAGCGATTTTAATTTTTTAGAATAATGAACTAATCATTAATGAACAAATTCACTCATTTACTCTGTGAATATTTATTATTTTTTGGTACTCCTTAGAGAAAATAGTTAATAGAATTGCGACCAAAATTAAGAAATTAAGTTCAAATTAATTTGGTCCGTGACCAATAAACCAACCCTGCTGCTAACGTATCACTTGATCGAATAAACTACTATGTATGCGCTTAGTAGTTTGGCAGATCAATACAGTTTCCTTAAACGTGTCTGAAAGGTTAGAATAAGCATGTTCCCCGTAATTTATTATCCCAAGTGTGCCTGTAGTTAAAAGATATCTGTAAAGTTAATGTTTAATTTCAACGGTCATGAATGGCCGGACTTAAATAGTAAAGAATTATCGCGTTATAAAAATGATGCTAGAGTTTGGACTAATTGAACATTTTTGACCTATAGCGAAATATACTCAGTAATAGTTTCTTACTTTCATCATTATCATCGTTCCACTGTTTTTGATTTATAAATGGCATCAAGAATAATTTTGCCAATTTGATAGTCACCTATAATCATTTCACGTTGACCACGACCGATTGGAATCATAGAATTAACCGATTTAATACCTGTCATCATAGGTTAGTGGACAGAACGAGGTAAGATACCGAGAACTTTCATTTGAACACGTCGTCGTTCTTTAGCTTTTATTTGTCCCTTGCCAGATATGATTACCAAGACACAACCCAATAGACCAGACTCGACTAGGAAGGTTTGTTAGTAACTTACCGTGGTAAGTTACCAAATGATTTTGAAAGTGCTGCTATTATCGGAAATTTTCGTTATAGTAGACAATTAACGAAATAAAAATATGTTACTTCAGTGGTACTTATGGTAACTTACCACCAGGGACGTGGAAAATTTTATTTTCCCAAATTTTGGCATTTAATCCAAGATTTCTAAATTTTTGCCAACTTTAAAATTCATGTATCTGACCGATCAGAGAATATTATAATTCACTTTTTACAGCTGTTTTCATTATTTCTGGGACAGCGACTCGTTAAGTTTTTGATTCGGCATGATAAGCTTTTGATTTTGGAAGTGATCATTCAGATCACATCCAAATCATGCCAATTAAAAACTTAACGAGTTGGTATATTTTTTATCAGCTGTCCCACTCAAATAAAGTTTTGATGTAGCTGTCGACTCACCCGAATAATCCATGGGTTCAATCTAAGGTTCAACCTGCCGGGTAATGATTTTTAGACCTCTAGCCAAGAGAGAAATAAATTAAATACTGTAATAATAATTGATTACTAGAAATTATTAAATTAGTGCTCGGCAAAAACTTGATAATCAATTGTAAAATAAAATAATCATTAAAATACTATAGATCAAATAAAATATACAAATTTAATTTGCAACATTTTTTTTTTTTTTTTGTAAGTGTGGCTATATTACGTAGTGTTTAGTCTATTTAAACAATGCACTACAAGAACAAGAGTCTATCTGCAATTAATTATATCAAAATTTTATATAAGTATCGAACGGAAAACAAATGAATGAATTTTATACTGTTCAAAAAAGAGGTTTTTTTTTTTTCAGAATAATAAAACTATTCATTAATAATATCTGAATATTCATATAATGATTAGCAACACTTTTTTTTTCAGGAATTTAATTGATCTAGTCGTAAATTTGGGAAAATAACTTCTTTATACCACAATTTCTAATCTAATAAAAAATAGCAACTATATGAAATAAGAAAGAACCACGAAAAAGAGAAAATATAAAATCCTTGTAAAAAAATCAACCAGAAGAAATCTTATTTTACTACGACTTAAGAGACTTTCTAACTATTTGAAATACTTCATATTCACTTGCAAAAAATACATAGTTACCCGGACTTATATGATTTTCATAATTTCTTCGCAAACATCGAACCTCCCAATGTTCATCCCTATTGCCTATTAAAGCTAAATCTGAACCAAAACATGGACCATAATCTATGCATTGAAAAATTGCTTGTTTTGTTTCTTTTACTTTACTGTATATTACATTATTAAATTGTTCGTGACCAAGGGAAAATATGAAGCTCTTCTTTGTTTTGTTAAAAACTCCATCTGCATGAGCTTCCCAACTCAAAGGATTAAAACCTCCAAGAAGCTCACCTAAATTTTTAGATCATTATAAAAGTTAATATAAAAACAATCTAACAAGAAATTACTACAAAAGGAAATTTACCAGAGTGATGAACTTTTAATATTGTAACACTTGGCCCTTTCAAATCGCATTTTTCATGAAAAATTTTTGGACCGAACCCATCACGACTTCCACGGACAAGTAAATTGAATTCAAAAGGAATATTATGAGGTTGAATATCACTATCATTTACTATCCAACCACAAATTAAGGCCGCCTGTTTCGTTGTGATCAATTTTGAATTAATGCCTTGACTATAAGTTTGAAATAAAGTGGCAGTAGCAGTATTTAATTGAGAAAGATGATATTCCCAAAGTTGAGCGTAAGAGTCATCACCAAATGATTGTTTAAAAGGTTGAACTTTCTTTTCAAAATCATTAGGATTTATTAAAGCAAAGTTGATATGCGGAATAAAAGGTGAAACAATATTTCCAAAAGTATTAAAATCATCGAATGTCCATAAATCAATATCTTTTGTAAGTAAAATATTTTGAGCTATTGACCATTCAACCAACTTTTCCCATAATTCTATTTCTCGCATGATAAAAAATTTTTTTTCAAGAATTGAAATTAGAGTACTTTGATCTATGTTGATAAAATCTTCAGCTTCAAAAACTAAAGATGGATCTTGTTCCATAGTATTGATACAAAATGCTAATAACTTTTTAAATTGACTATGTTGTGTAGCAAAATGATATACAAGTGCAAAATGATTCAATAAGTCTTCGGTATTATTAAGTATATGATCTTCGATAAAGTCAAATAACTCAGTCAAACATAGTTCTTCGGCAGCTGTAAGAACATCGATATTAAATTCTACATTCTTTTCTGGTAGATCGATCGATGCACCATATATATATCTATAAAAATTAAATTAATCTTTTAAAACTTTAGAAATTAAGATATATAAAAATTTCAAGGGATGAAATATTATAGACAGTACTTTAATATAATATCAAATACACTTGGGGATACATTCGGTTTATTAAATACTAATATATTGCCATCAGATCGAGCCCAATTACTTGATAAAGCGGCTCGAAAATACGTTGATCGAGCACGTAATACTAAAGAATGTACCTTAAATTCTCTAGTATTAAGCTCTTGGCCAGAGTGGATGATCATATCAAAATGATCACCAGATTCTAAAAGTGCAGCGTAGTGACGAGATAAGATATTCAAAAAAATTGTCGACATTATATTATAACGTTCAAGAAATGTAAAGAGAAATTTTTTTTGTTGAGGCTGTACAATTTATGCAATTTATATTAATAATAATTGGTGCTCACGTGCTCGATAACATAAGCCAATTTTTTTTATCTGCATAACACAAATTTGCATACATGTTGATTATTATCGTTATGCAGTTATCCGTTACGCAAAAAATCATCAGTTCTCGAAAAAGAAATGTTGATGTGAAAATATTAGATGGCTTTAAAAGAAAAAAACAAACATCGAGAATATATGTATTTTATTTTATTTTTTCGCAATCAACTTCGCATTGCTCACGTTCGGAATAATAATATACAGTACTCATTATGACCACCAAATTTTGATAATGTGATACGTAGTACGAAAAAACCAGTTCCAAATTTTAGTTGCAATAAAAAGAAATATTGGATCACTTTATATTAGCGTTAGCGTTAGTTATATAAAAATATGAAATTAACAATGAATTCATTTTCAATTACCAAAGGAGTGATTTTAATAATATAAATTTATAATTTAATACACATGTTCGTATAGGTAATGTGGAAAGTAGTATAGTCGGAACTACGAAAAAGTAGCGTAGTGTAACAAAAATGAAAAAACATATAATATCGATATGTATAATAGAATATAAGTTGGTTATACGTACTTATTTGTATACTAGAATATATACGTATATTTTGTAGGGTGCCATTGCAATTTGCGACATGGAAGTGATGAACCATTCTACAGTTCTATGTGACAAATAAGGTTAATTATATCGATATTATCTGTTATTGAATTCTAATCTTATTCATCACGAAAATAGTTCATCACACAAAAATTGCAATTAATTAAAGTAAATAGTAAGACAAGCCGAGTTCGTTTTATGTTAAAACATATATTGTATTTACTTTATTAATATTATTATAAAAAATTTAGTCTTAATTTATAATTACCATCAACTTTTTCTTGCGCAATTTTTTTATAACATAAAATTTTACAGTATTTATTGTAGCTACATAAAATCACTATGCAAATATTAAAAAAAAAAAAAAAAAAAAAAAAAAAGCAAATTCTAGATAATATTATTATTCTATAAGACCATATTCTCGCTCTTTAATAACATTAGCTTATTCGCAACTCTCTTAATTTCTCTTTTCGCTCTTCAAGTAGTAACTTGCGTTCATCATATTCCAACTTTTCCATCTTCGTCATTGGAGATTCTTTATACAAACATCATCGTTAGTTAAATCAATTTCTTCAGCTTCTAATGACTTGCGTGGTTTTTTATTACTTTTTTGTGGACGTGAAGATTGTAATGCTTTTTTGTTAAGGAAAAATTCTTATAAGTTGAATTATAATTATTTTTAAATAAAAAAGCGAAAGGCAAGCAATTTGATTATAAATATTTAAAAATCATAAAGTATCTTATAATAAGTCAGAAAGTTAATTATATTAATTACGAAAACTAACTTTGTTGTTAAGTATTTCGGCATTATTAAATTACATAAATATTTTAATAATTTTTTTTAGTATAAAAAACTTTCAATATGCAATTATTATACATCATGTTTATAAAATACTATTATACTCATAAGTAGTGATGGGCATGCGCGGGATCCGCGCGGGATCACGCGCGGATCACGCGCGCAAAATGCGCGTGATTTTTAATATACCCTAATTCCGGCCAGCCGGCCCGCATTAAGTAATCTCTATCCCGCGCATCACGCGCGGATCACGTGCGTAAGCCGCATCCCGCGCGGGATATTTGAGAAAACCGCGATTTGCCCATCACTACTCATAAGTATGATCTTTTTTTAGCTACGTATTATACTTATAAGTATGCTTCTTTATACTTAAACGTATGATAAGTTTGACTATTAATCATACATATGCGTGTGAATTCTAAATTTGTCCTACGCTACTTTTTTTGTTTCCTACTATACTCCTTTACATATTACTCTGTATATGTTGTAGGTGGAATCGGAATTCTATCGCGGAAATATCTGCAGATCACGATGTCATGTGAAATCACGAGAAATCAGCAGATTTTTTTGATTCTCCGATAAAATATACAATTGCTTATTGCAATATATAATTATAGGCATCGATAAATCCCCAAAATTTTTTAGTTTATTTCGTTAGGATTAGGGTTATGGTTAGGCGTCTCCTGCGAGAGATGCCTAAAGGCTCCCATAATTGATATGAAATCTAAATCTTAGCAATTTCCAACATCATCACAAAAATCTAGGGATGTTAAATTGCGAATCCAGTCCGGTCCGATCCTAGGATCTAAAAAGACAGTCCTGGACTCGATCCTTTAAATCACATGAAAATACAATACATTTTATAGGACTTAGATCCTGTATCAGATCCTAAATTGAATCTATCGAATAAGTCCATCCAATCAAATTAATTTTGTATTGTTATAATAATTCAATTCAGGATCCAAGTCCTATAAAATGTATTGTGTTTTCATGTGATTTAAGGACCGAGTCCTTACCAATCCTGCAGGTCCTTGTAAGGACCGGTTAGGATTCGGTCCCAAAAGACCGATTAACATCCCTACAAACATCACAGTGTCATACTTTATTGCAAAGCGCCATAAATGTGGGTCCGGATCTTAAAATGACTTAAGAGAAGACGGGATTTCATGCAAATGGAAGAATTGTATAAATCTTTTGATATATATTTAAAGCGATCAAATTATAACTGAACTATCAGAATAGATAAATACTCCGCTAAGTTAATAATTAGTACAGCCAATTAGAAGTGGTGGGATAAATTAGTAAATTCGTATCTTTCAATTGTTCTCAACTAAAAAAAAAAGGTCAAACCAAGAATATGAACTTAATTTTTAAATTTATTAATAAATATCTTTACGGAAATGATTAAAAGATGTCACAAAAACTTTATTTCGCAGGCTGATAATGATATTACTGTATTTCGATTTTCTTTGAACCTAAATAGAATAACTTGGGAACTTTTAAGGTAAACATTGGATTAAACATGCCTTTCGGTTTCGAATATTGGGAACCAAGCCTGACAAAAATAACCTACAAAAAAGTTGGTCGCAATTAAAATGAATCATTTAAGAAAAGTGGTCTGAAACCAATCCGAATACTCAAATTATTACTCGTTACGGTACTGTACTATTACAGTTGTCAAGAACAGAATTAATTCGTACTATATGTTCTTTTAATCGTCTCTATAATATTTTATTTAAAATTAATAGACGTTTCAATTTGCTATTTAAAAGTGATTGCCGTCCAAATGTAATAATTCTTTAATTATACGATACGCAATTAAAGTTTTTTTTATTATTATAAAAATTTGTTTCGATAATTTAAGGTGTTCTAAATCATCAACTTAGTTATGATTAGCTAGTGATCATAATGGTGCACAACCATTTTTATATGAATATAACTAATTTTAATTACTGGTTAATTAACCATCCTATTATTATAAAAGTTTTTTTGAAGAGCAAATAAAAGTAAGATCCAACAACTCTTTCTGATAATCTCTAAAACCAAAATGATGACAAAAAGAAAAAACTTTTATATATATAATAATACTCTATTTTTTAACATAATATATACAAGTGAGACTGGAAAAACTAGAAGTTCAATAAAATATATTCTATCATTGAAGAGTAGGCTATGAGCTATTCATGGATTATTGGCACTTTTATATATTGTATATATTATATATCTTGTATATATTTTATATACTTTATTATTGGAAACAAGTTCTTTAGATATAAAAGTTAAAAAAACTACTTGGATAGAGTCAAGTATAACATCATTTCTTATACTTTTCAAGCTTATTTTAGATATTCTTACTCTCACTTCTAAACTTTTAGCTGATCTTGAAAATGGTTTTGATCATTTGACAAACTTGAAGTATTTTTTTGTACAAAAAGTAAAGATAGAGTTTACTTCTTACTAAAGATTAGTATACACATTATTGATAAATTTAGAAGTAGGCTTATCAGTTATAGTGTGATAACAATAAACATGTGTGTATTTTAGAGTTAGCATAACAAATATATGATTTTATTTTGCAATATAAACATGAATTTACTATAATATAATAAGTTATCATATATTTGATAAAATAACTAAATCATTATTGAATATTAAAGATATTTGCAAATAAATATATTTTATATTTATAATTTTTAAATACTTAGTTTTGAACAGAATTATATGTTTAGGTTATGATTCTTACAAAACACCTTTTATTTTCTTTTGTTTTTGTTTTTTATTTTTGTTTTGTTTATTTCTATTTAGCTAATTAGATTTTTAACTTGTAAGCAAGTTTTCTTAACTTAATTTTGAATATTATATATAGTATGTGATTTTGCTTTTCACTATATATAATAATTTTATTATATTTTATCAATATTCATCTTCCTAGACAATCAGATAAAATTATCTAAACTTCTCTTTTTCTTTATATTAAGGAGGTTTTTAATACAATAGATCATATTTAAATATGTATGCAAATGAAATATCAAGTAATACTTTCTATTAAGAAATTAAATGTATAAAAAAGAACTATAGGTTTTTGTTTAAATTAAATCTTATATAGACTAGCTATTTGTAAACTCTTTATCTAATAAATACATAAAACATAACTGTCGAAAGAAAATATATATATATATAAATTTTTTTATATAAATAAACTATTTTTTGAGATTAGAATTAGAGTAAGACCTATATTAGAGTTAGAGTATGTATTTATATACAAAATTAAATGCTAAAAACTTTTACTTAAAAGCCTAAAGCTAGTTTTTATAATAAAATTTTGATATTTACGATTTTTAATATTTTTCTTAAATTTTAAATTTCATATGTTTTTGTTACACAAGATCCTGCGAATCATATAGGGTGGTTAATTCACCACGGGGCAAGTTAGCAACATTCTTTTTATATTTACGTAAAATTTTAACTAAAAAATTTGAATATGCAAATTATGACGTAATTGAAGTTTGCTCTTCGATGCTATTTTTTAATGATCGTAATAGAGCTCATTTACTACAATCAATTAAAATAGAAATTGTAAACAATGCTTGAGCAGTTCTTTATTTGATCTCTATATTATTTATCAAATGCTACCGTCAAAAAATAAAAAAGCGAAAAATAAAAAGCAATCCAACACGAAAGAACAAATGATACTATTCTTTGAACACAGCTTAGTGAGGCACCAACTTCAGCTACTCCTATTACCCTCGTCATCAATTAAATATAGAAAAACGTCAACCCAGAATTTACCGGTTTTAGGTCCTCGTTTATGCAAATCTAAAGAAGAAATTATTGACGGAATAGTTGAATTTGTAATAGGATTAAAGACTGAGATGGTATCTGCAATTATTATTTGAACTTCCTAATATTTTTTAATTTCCATAGAATCTTTTAATAATAAAAATAATAAAATAACAATTCGTTATGTCAAGAACGAAGTTCCATGGCAAAGTTACTTGAACGATCTCTATAAATACTCTCTATTAATGGTAAAAATTTCCAAGTCAGGTATAAAAAAAAGGTGGTTTTTTGTAAAAAGTTTTTAAATTAAAATGATTATCTCTCTTAATATTTTTTACTAATAAAATATTTCAATTACGCAATAAGTAAACGCAATTAAATATTTTCCGCTAAGTAAAATTTATTCCCCGACACCTTTTGATCCATTGATTAAGGCGCTTGAGAACGCCCCAATTTAGTTCAATTCGGTATCCACTTAAGTGGATTCCGAATCCACCTACAACAGCTCCACTCAAATTTTAAAAAAAATTTGCCACAATTTCTGTTTTGATAAGATGCTTTTAAGTTTTTTTTTTTAAAAAAAAAACTTTGGAAATATCTCAACAACTACCTGTATTTGAATTCTGAGAATCTGAAGAATTAAAATAAAACATTTTTTATTGAATTTGTTCGAAAATTTTTTTAGCGCAACTTCTGTTTTAGAAGTTTTTTAAAACTGAATTCTGAGAATCTAAAAGTTTTATCGAATTTGCTTGTTTTCGAGATATCTTCACTTATCGCTGTTTGCAAAAAGGGGTGACCCCATAATTTTTGTGATTATGTGGTGAGGAATTTTAATAAAGAATCTAATAAGAAAAAAATTCAATAGAGAATACGTTAATAATTTGCAATCATACTTACCCATCAGAAATTCTTTTATTAAATTTTCTATTTAAAACTTCCCTCACATCATCACAAAGAAAATCACAGGGACACACTTTTTTGCAAAGCTCTTGCATTCTGTTTTAAATCCTCATACATGAACCCAAACATATCAACGTTAACCTATAAATTAACTTAAGTGGCCTAAGGGTGTTCTCAAACACCTAAATCAATGGACGTTTCATATCACCGACGGTCATTTCGCCGAAAATTAAAATTGGCTAACACTAACCATCTCGATAACTATCCAAGGAGTTGCTTGAGAACACTCTAAACATGAACTATCTACAAAAGAACCGTCCCAACTTAATTATTTAGATTCAATTTGATTTGAAGTGACCGAGATGTTGCTCAATCATTGCAATTAATTAAAGAAGTTACTGCGATTAATTGAAATGTGTGTGAAATGCGGATTTAAATTTAACCAATTAACGTGGCTCGATGAAAAAAATTGGTGGTCGCAGCTCCAAATTTTTTTTAACCAATTAGATAATTTGATAATTCATCGAGGGAAAAGTTTGAGATCTCGCATATCGATATTATCTATCACCTTGATTAATTAAATACCAACTAGAGTTTAAAACCTGTTTTATTTTCATATGATAAAACCGAATAAATCCGGTTTATTAACTCATGCTAACTATAGTTATATTTAGTCGAGTTATTACAGTAAAAAAAAAAAAAAAATTCTTTAGTTGTTTTAATATTTCATAACGAGATGTAAAAATATAATTAATTAATCGTATTGTTCTCTGACCAGTACGCGCCTGCTCCGGATTCAAGACCTAGGGTGGGGCGTGCCAATCCGGATTGACGAGTGTTGTGATGGCCCTCATTCGCAACTAGCCTTTTTATATATTTTTAATTTAAATTAATATTACCGTATTACTGTATTAGATTTTTAAAGTACTGAAGTAAAGCAAACTTATATATGTAAAAAAATAAAAATAAAAAATCGTTAAATTCTCTTGATCACAGATTTTATTAACCAATCATCGTCTATATCAGGCCGAGAGAGTAAAATACGATATTTAAAAAATTTTTTATGTAAAAAAAAAAAAAATTGATTTTGCATTAAAAACGAGCGCCTATGAAAATCCACCTATTAATCCTTTTGTTATATCATTTATGAAAAGATACTATTTATAACCACGAAAATAATGATACATATATTTTTTGATGTAGTACCTACGTCGCCATTATATGTACGCATATGATCTTTAATACACTTTATGCATACGTATTGATAAGATACCTAACTTAAGTAGTGTTGGTTCCTGTGTGTGGGAATTGTAAGTAACCCTAATAAAGCCCTTAGTCGATATTGGAAATTATTAGACTGCGGTTAGATCATGTAATGTGATACACAAATTTCTAGAAAGGCGGGGCGCTAATGATACATTAACAAACGCCAAATCCTTATAAAGAAGACCATAAATTTTTGGTATTTCATTTAACAAAAATGGAATAATTTCGAATATACCTGTATCATTTATCTTTTCCTTGCAATTCTCAAGGTTTGGACATTCATCTGAGACATTCGCAACCTTCATAATTGAGGATAGAAAAAATGTTTAGTTATCTACACTGTTCACCTACATCTTCTCTACAATACCAATCGTATCAACGCCTTGAAGAAGGCTATCCAGAATCTTCACGTGTATCGTACACAAACGAAAAAGCCTACGTAAATGTTAATTCTGAAGAACTAGACCAACTAGACCCATGGTATTATATTTTATTGGGAAAGGGCATCATTGCGATTGTTTGGTTTTTGATAATATTTGTGATTCTTTTAGCTAATGGATTTAGAGAATAATTGGTGGGTATTATTCAATAATGAATTTATAATTGTACTTAAATTTGTCGAAAGTTAACCAAAATTCCATTTTATACATTAAAGGACCATCTCTCTCCGATAAATTTGAAAAAAAAATAAATTTCTAGAATTTCTAGCAAGTTTCTAAAGTTTTTATACTATAAAAAAGACAAATTAATGTACCGTATTTACTAGAAATAACTCACATGGGCGTTATCGTTATTTCGAAAATCACATTCTTTTAAAATAACATAGTCGGTTTCGAAACAACGCCCATGCGCGTCTCGAAATAACGCGCACACCATATATTACTTTAATAATCATAATTATACTCACGATATATAGATTTTTTTGGTAGTTTTATGCATGCAGTCAATTCTCGACATGACGAAATTACTTTTATAAATTCGTTATGTGAGGTTCATGAAGACTTGACTAACAAATATTATATAATTAAAGCGCGTGTGAACTTTGTATTTGAACTGATATATTTCTGTAACGCATAACAGTATTATAAACACAATAAAAATAAATATACATATAAAAAAAAGTATCTATCATTTTGTGCATAAAAAAGATGCGCACCAAGTTTATTTTAAACAATCAATTTTAAAAATTTGATCACGCAAATCCTCTTCACCCTTAATATGAATTGAGAGGTCTTCTATTAGACCCGTCCCTAAATCATAAACCCAACCGTGTACTTCGAGTTTTCTACCCTTATCCCATACATTTTGAACAATGTTTGTAGCAGATATATTATGAACTTGCTGCACGACATTAAGTTTAACCAACTCATTTGCACGGTCTTCTGGTGGTAAGGCATCAATTTTAGATTTATTAGCACAGTAAATTTCCTTGATGGTACGTAACCAGTGGTCAACAAGACCGTGTTGTTCGTTGCCTGGATAAAACGAAAAGAGAGTAAAAAGTGCACTTGATTTAACTAAAAGGAAAAGAAGTTTAAATATTTACTCATTGACGCATGGACGCCTCCACATCCATAATGACCTATGATCAATCATGCGTTAAACATTGTTAAAAAAAGTAATTAGAAAACAAAATTTTATTGTTATTACCACAAACGATTATATGTTCAACCTTTAGGTGATCCACTGCATATTGCAATACTGACAAACAATTTAAGTCGTTATGGTTGAATTGGTTAGCAATATTTCTGTGAACAAAAATTTCACCGGGCCCCAACTGAACTACTGTTTCCGCAGGAACTCTCGAATCAGAACATCCTATTTCAAATTATTCCGCGTTAGATGTAAATCAACTGCTTATTATTAATACTTTATGTCTAAAATAGATCATTAAATTTTTGATTTACCAATCCAAACAATTTTAGGTTTTTGCTCTTTTGCATGGTTGGCAAAGAATCCCGGGACTTGTTTAGTGATAGCACTAGACCAAGCTTTATTATTTTTTAGTAATTCTTCGAGACTTTCACCAACATCAGCGAATGTAATAGGGAGAGGTGTAATAATATCGGTGCGGGGGCGTGGAATATGTCTTGCATCAAAAACTAATACGAACAGATTTTAATGGTGAGCCTCAATATTTATTTATTTTTTATTGTTTTTTGCGTCATATGCGTCTCAAGTGATGGCTTGAAAAGTACCTTCAGTTTGTGAACGTTTAAGTAGAGATTTGTCAAAAAGCGTAGTTTCATCTTTGCTTGCGTTATTAGTTTCTTCGACTTCATTGGAGTTAGCAATTTCATCCATGACGTCCTTTATGTCTTGTAAAAATCAAATTTAGGATTCAAAAAATTTAAAAATATTAATGAAAATATTTATATTACTTTAGAAAGGAATCAATGTATTTTTTACTTTTTTTTCCTTTTTAAAATAAAATTTCCTTTGGAATAGTTTGAATTTACAAGTGTGTGGTGCAAATTTATCGTTATCCATCATTATTTATACCAAGCGTAAGACAATCCTCGGAAGGTGCCTAGAAAAGGATAGATTAAACTGTTCTATTCTGTTTAGCGTTAGCGTTAGGATGATACTGAATATAATTAGGAGTATATCGATATCAATTGACATTGCAGCATTACGTTTAGTAATTTTAGTTATGCACACCACAATACGTAATAGTGTGTTACAAAAAACTTAGCAAAGAATAGATACCTTTTAACATCTGTTTTACGTATAATATCTTATAGTATAAGTATAATGATCATTAATAATTGTTAAGCCGAAGAAGTACTAATGTTCGGGTCTATAAACAGACAAAAAAACCTTCGTCTTGGTTTTCGTGAAAAGTTATTTACTTTAATCAAATTTTAGTGTTAGTTCAGTTCACGAAGGATTTCATTTAGCCTATATAAGTTATGTGTAATATTAAACCATCAAATCTTGCAGCTGATATTGTTGTTCGTTTGATGTTTTTAGAGGCCTGCATGGGCTGAATTTGCTAGGCCAGAACCAGATTGGGTCTTTGTTCTGGTCGAACAGACCGACAAAATACGTACGTACGTACGTGCCTTTTTTTAGACCCATGCAGTCTTTTGTGTGCTTTACTTTAACGGAATACAAATCTATCAATATGATGTACCACCTCGCAGTTTTAAAGGTCAGAATTTGAGAAATATGATACCAAATACGATAAAGCATTTGAATGCCACCAGAAAATCTAAAAAATAGATTTCTGTGATGTAGGTTTTAATCGAATTCATAAGATCCAAATCAGGTGTGCTGTGTTGGCCATTTAGGTCATATCCAACTTTATATGACCAAGGAGGTCATTACAGTAAATTTTATAAGTCATAATAGGTCATAAGGTCATAGCATATGATTGGCCAATAGGTCATAACAGGTCATAGGCTAACACTGGTTCTAATCACGTATAATTATCATTAAAGCCTTCATTCTGTTGTATAAAAAAATTTATTCCTAGATTTACTTGTTTTCACTTCGCGTCACCTATATTTATCTCCATACAGTGTGTCTAGTGCTCGGAAAAATCAATCAAAAATTTTATTGTGCCGAGCATTAAGTGTGTCTCTGGGTAAAGTCTTGCTGGTTCTATTGTCCGGAGTGTAGCACCGAATTAAATGATACAAATCGAAAATCTATGATGCAATTAGTTGGTCTAAATGACAACTAATCGATTGAAAATTTTTTTTGCCAACTCATATCAAAATACAATTTGAAACTCGTTTAATCGTTTAGTTGACAACAATCGATTATGAATTTTTGAATAAACCAACTAATCGATTTGACTACAGTATCTTCTCGCATCGCTACAAAAAATTTAATACTCACGTGATTTCCCTTGATTTTTTGATGTTCGTTTAGGCGACTTGAAATTAAAACTTCGTTTAACGTTAATTTTTTTTATTAATGCGAGGGGGGGAGGGGAAAAATTAAAAAACATTAATTTTAAACGAGGTTCGAATGATCCAAATCAGGTTCAATAACCCAAAATTAGGTTCAAGTTATAACCAAACAAAATTTTCTTCAAATTTTGCTTAATTTGAGGTGAGTCTATTAATTGTTTGATTTTTGGGGAGACCCGTAAGCAGAGGGGGGATAACGTTAAACGAAGGTTTAACTTCAAATCGCCTTATGTTAGGATTGGGGTCTAAATTAGAGTTTAGATGTTAGCGAGTTTTATAGTAAAATTGTATAAGAAAAACTTTTTGTTACGTATAACTCAAAAAGCATTTTCTTATACGTATAAATTTCTGAAAAATTATCTAATTAAATATTAAAATAATATAATCTTTAACAATATCGTTTGTGAAACTTAAAATCTGAAGAAAATTTAAGTACTAAGAGTACATGGTCTAATCTGCTACGTAATTAGCAATATCAACTTAACTTAGTATAGTAATCTTATTTTTTTTTAATATCAAATTAAGTAGATTTTAAGTTATTTTTTGGATTTTATTTTTCGGTGTACCTGCACCTCTTATCACATGATCAACGCATTACGGCAATGCAATACATTTTTTATTAATTTATTAAAAATTTAATAATACAAAAATTATCAAATTATTTATTAAAATGTTACAGTTCTAACTATTCTATTAGCTACGACTAAAAATACATATTTTAAATACAAAAAATACATATAAAAAAAATAAAATTCTCATATACTATTATATTATAGCTTTAACTATTCTATTAACTACATATAACTAAATATTTTTTATAAACAATTTATTATAGACAATATAACTTGTATTGCTTTGCTTATACTTAGCAACACAGACAAGGTTCATTTTACTTACTCTGTAGTTACTTTATTGTAGCTACTACCTCTAATTCATTCTGTTTTCTAATTATTCAATAAACTTAATTTTTCTTATCTTAATTATCTTTTAATCTGTAGGCTATTCTAAGCAAATTTGCTTAGAAAATTTATATAACAATATCTATAATCTATATTTTTATAAAATTAAAATATTTAAACAAAATTTTTTTTAATAATATTTGAAAATAAGGATTATATAATTGTAGTATTTATTTTATATGAACAAAAATATAAGTTGTTTATATACTAAAGTTAGATAACTTTAAAGAAATTTTTTTATTCAAAAAATTTATTACTTATTCTTAGTGAACTTATTAATTATTAATTATCTGTTTTTTTTTTTTTTTTTGTTGTTAAAGGCAACTTATATTGCTAAAGAAATGTTATTAGTATTGCAAATAGAATTATATATTGATAATCTTTACTGTTTGTAATTATATAAAGAGTATACAACAAATTACACATACAACTTTAGTTATTATCTATTTTAAGTAGTCTGCTGCACAGATATTAAGCTATCTAATTAGTTTTATACTATGCTGTTATATCTGTAACCTACTTGTGAGTTACCTATTTAAACACTCTGTTCATTAACCTATACCAATTCAACCTAATATCACTACAACATCTAACTGCTTAAACTAGCTAACTTGTTATAAATCTATTTATTTAGAATAGCTTAGATCCTCTTAGAATAAATTATATCAAATGTATTACTAGTATTGCAGAGCTAGTTAACTTTGAAGCAAACTTACTAGAGTAGTCTATATCTATTTTATAAATTTATTTAGTTTAGACTCTTGTAAATATTTATATAACTTCAAGTTCTACTATAGTCTTCTACTAGTTAGTTAACTTAGTTTTTTTCTAGTATTTAGCTAGTCTTAGTTATTTTTCACCTAGAGATCTTGAAACTTCTACCTTTATTAGACTAAGTTTTCTTCTTAGATCAGACTTTAACTAATGTAGTTCTATTAGAAGGTCATACTACTTCACTAATTTGAAATTTCTACTATGCAAGTCTTCTACTTATATATTCTATTAAGATTTATTTATATAATATTATGTCATACTTCTAAGTTCTGATCAATTTGGTATAACTCAATTTATAGAAGTATACCCTCAGAAACAAATAGAGTTTACTATAATATATCACAAGATCTGAAAAATTATTCAAATTTGTTGATAGTAAGATTTGAATTTCAGACCTATTATATAGTAGTCTAATAATTTAACTACTATACTAGATTACTAGACTTCTATTATCTGTTTTTTTTACAATTAAGATTACATAAAATTTATTAAGAAAAATAATTTTTATTATTACAATTTTATAATTTAATTATAAAAATTCGAACTTATCTTAGAGTTAAAAAATTTTTTTAGCTTCAAAAATATATAAAATTTTTAAAAAAAATTAATTATAAAAAATTTTTTAATATAAACTTTAAAAATTAATTATTCAAAAACTACTTAGTAAAAATAAAAAAATTTATTAATAAAGTTTATAAAATATATTTTCAATAATATATTTTATTTTATTTTTTTTTTTTTGTATTAAAGGTGAGGTCATGTCTCTATTTTTATTAATAATTTAATTGAGATTCTGCAGAAAGTTTCTCACTATAAAGAATTAACTTTATAGATTTTAAATTACATGAAAAGAATTGAAACTCAGACTATAGTATATTAATAAATACTAACTAAACTAATTTATCTATAATCTAAATCTACTAGAGTAGTTATGATTCATCTAGATTTGAGTAAATAATATATTATTAGTTAGTGTACTATATTTAATCTATTGTATTATCTATAAGTATATTTTGCTAATAGCTATTTATTCTGTAGTTTGAGTATTATTATTAGATTGTCTGTTTGAGTTATAATTTGAAGTAGAAAAGTTTGTAGTATATTGTTGTAGTTGGATATTGTTTGGGTTAGAGTTAGAATATAAAGTATTGATATTATGAGATTTTTTCTATTGAGCAAATTTGTCATAGTATAGTATTCAAATTAGTTTGTAAATAGTATTGAATAGATTGTAAAAGAACTTAATTATTAGTTGTGTTGATAATTTGTATAAATTAGTGAATAGTTGTAGTAGAGTAGCTAAGTTATTAAATATAAATCTCTGGAGTATGGTGTAAATTGATGTAGAGCTTGAGAGTAGTTGAGAGAAGTTTAGTGAGTAGTAGTTGATAAGTTGTTGGTGTAGAGTTTATAACTCATTATTTGAGATTTCTAGTTTAGATGTTGTAAAGAACTCTGTAATAAATTTTATATAATATCATGAATTAATGAGTTGTTATTACAAAAAATCTAGTGTTGGTATTTATCTGTAGAGTTGTAGTTGAAGCATTGGTTAGTTGGAAATATATTGGGATAGATTAGTTGAAAATGAGAAATTGTAAGAAGGTTATTAATCATGTTTTTAACTCTAAAAGATTTGGTTTTGTTGAGG